AAAAAAAAAAAAAAAAAAAGAGAGAAGTGGAGTTCAGGTCCAGGTGGGGCAGGAGCTTGCATAGAGGGTAGTCTCTTCATATGATCACCCCCATAAAAGGCTTTGGCCCAGCATCCCATCTTCTTAGGCTTCTGAGAATAAAAGATCCTGTTGTTGGGTGGCGTCTGTGGCTCAAAGGAGTAGAGTGCCAGCCCCATATGCCGGAGGTGGCAGGTTCAAACCCAACCCTGGCTGGAAAAAAAAAGAAAAAAGATCCTATTGTTTTGTCCTGTTGGTAGCTGCCTATATTTTTCTTATGTATAAACTGGTAGAGTCAGAACATGGGATTGGGGACCTCCCCTTGGCCAGGACGTTCCCCATCCCTTCCAGGTGTCCCGGTATGACTGGCAGTTCCCAGTGCTGCTTTTCCCGTCTGAGAGAAGGTGCCTCCCAAAGCCCTGTCCCTGGTCTTTCTGTAGCTGGAATGTGCCAGGTCTTTGCTGTTCTCCCATCCTCCACTTCTAGTTCCAATGCTCCGATAAGAAATCACCATGGGTGCAGGGTGGCTGTGGGTTCTATGCTCTCTGTGAGCCAGGCAAGGTGCCACATGCCTGCCAGTCATGAATCCTCCTGTTCATCTCATGGAGAAGGGATCATCCCCATTTTGTAAATGAGGAAACTGAGGCTCAGAGAGATGGAGGCTGGAGTCTGCTCCCTGCAGAGCTGAGATTTGAGCCCAGCTGCTCAGATGTGAGCTTGACCTCCAGGCCTGATGCTGGATGGGCCTGTGTTTTCTCCCCTCCAGATGAGGTTGTGCTCAAGTTTGAAATGGGCCACGTGAGGGCACGGAACCTGGCCTATGACACCCTCCCGGTCCTGATCCATGGCAATGGGCCCACCAAGGTAGGGAGGGCCACAGCCCCTGGGGAGCATGGGGAAAAGGCCAGAGCCCCAATTCTGCCCTTGCTGTGTCCCCACGGTTTCTCCCTGGGGCCAAAGCCACCCACCTGGGCCCCGCTGTAAGCTCCATGCCTCTGCTCTCACATCTAAGTTAGTGATATCCTCCTTCCCTACTGTGGTGGTCAGTGGTACCCTGTCTGTTCCTGCTGGGCCAGAGGTCAAACAGGAGGCCACTGTCCCCATCCAGATCAATTCTTGGCTGTTAGAGCCATCCACACCCTTTCACCCCAGGAGAGAGTCATTTATTCCCTCATTCACTGAATGTTTGCCCCAAGGAGTAAGGCAGAATCCGACATGAACAGGACAGGTGTCCCTGCATTCACGGCACTGCAGGAGGGGCTAGGGGACAGACCTATCTGGACTCTGGGCTACTGGCCCAGGATAAGCTTATTTCTCTGGCCACCTGCTTCTGAATCACACAGCTGGGGAGAGACAGAGGGCTTGTTAGAAACCTAGACTTCCTGACTTCAGCCTGGATCCGCTCCATCGGAACCCCCAAGTCAGGAATCTACATTTTTTGAGAGCCCAGGAAACCTGAAGATAAAGAAGCTAGAGTCTATTCTTCCCTCTGCCCCCCAAGCAGCAGTGTTGGTCTCCTGGGGGCTGGAACATTCTCTCTAAGACCCTCTTGGGAGTAGGGGAGAGGGCTGGGTTGTGAGGTACCCCCACGGACACAGGGAGATGTGAGCTGGGCTATAGTGGGTGGGACTGATTGGGCTCCTCTCCGACCCCACGCCTCCCCGACAGCTGCAGCTGAACTACCTGGGCAACTATATCCCACGCTTCTGGACCTTCGAGACGGGCTGCACTGTGTGTGACGAGGGCCTGCGCAGCCTCAAGGGCCTTGGGGTGAGACATTGAGGGCTCAGCTCTCTAGGTAGGAGGATGGTTGCTTCTGGAATAGCCTTTGGTGGAAAGTACAGGGTTTCCATCCCCTTGCCACCCAAGTGCCTCCTCCTGGAAGCCTCCTTAGACTGTAGGTGTCGCCCTCTTCCCCCAGATGCCTAAGTTCTACGGTCTTCTGCCTGGTCCTTCTGTCTCTCCTGCAGCTCCTCCTCCTTCCACAAACCTTTCTCATTTATGGCTCACCCTGAGCACCATGCCTGCCATGAACTCCTGCCATCACGCCCTCAATGGTGGCATCCTCGCCCCAGGCCCAGGCTCCCACTGCTCCCGCGGGCACTCCCTCGCCTCCCTGCCTGCCCCTGCCTCTGTGTATCTGTGTACCTTGTCTGCACCCCGTCCTGCTTCTGGCTCTGGCTCCCCTGGGCCACCCTGGGCTCAGTGCCACCCTCCCCTGTGCAGGATGACGCTCTGCCCCTAGTCCTGGTTGGTGTGTTCATCGAGCAGCCCACGCCGTTCCTGTCCCTGTTCTTCCGGCGGCTCCTGCACCTCCACTATCCCCGAAATCGGATGCGGCTTTTCATTCACAACCATGTGAGTAGCAGGCACTCTGCAGGGTCGCTGTGTGGCTTGGGTCCAGGCCCAGCCTCACAAGGTAGCCCCAAGACCTCTGAGGATCTGAGCAAACCTGGATTATCTGGGCCTCATGGAAGTGGGTGCTGGGCGCTGGCCAGGGGAAGATGGTCAAAGAGCAGCTGAGGAGGGGCATTCTGGGCAGAGGGCCTGGCAGGGGCAGAGGCTTGGAGGCAGGAAAGCAGAGGGCCGTGAAAGCACCAGAGATGGAGGGGAGCAGCCTGGCAGTGGCAGAAGGGGCGGTGTCCCCCAGAGTGGGAGCTGCACCTCATCCTCACCCCCACCCCCACAGGAGAAGCACCACAAGGCTCAGGTGGAAAAGTTCCTGGCAGAGCACGGCAGTGAGTACCAGTCCGTGAAACTGGTGGGCCCTGAGGTGCGCGTGGAGAATGCAGATGCCAGGAACATGGGCGCGTGAGTCGTGGGCCCTGCTCACCCCTACTGATGGTGGTGGGCGGAGGGGCCTTGGTGTCAGGAGCCCTATAGTCTCTGTCCTGCCAACCTAGGGGCTCCTGGGCAGGGCTGAGCAGCCACAGTTGGGTTCAGGAAGCAAATCAGAGGAAGAGGAAGCCTGAGGGCCTGGAAGTGGACAAAGGCTGACAATTAGGAAAACTATGATGTTTCCTTTATTGTTTAAAAAAAAAAAAGGTAACATATGTTCACTCCAGGAGGCCTAGGTGGGTGGATTACTTGGCTCAGGAGTTGGAGACCAGCCTGAGCAAGAGCGAGACCCCGTCTCTACTAAAAACAGAAAAACTTTGGCGGCGCTCATAGCTCAATGGGCAGGGCGCCAGCCACATACACCGAGGTTGGCGGGTTCAAACCCAGTCTGGGCCAGCTAAGCAACAACTGCGACAAAAAATAGCCGGGCTGGACAGTGCCTATGGCTCAAGGAGTAGGGTTCCGGCCCCATATGC